AGAGAGAGAGAGAGAGAGAGAGAGAGCACACACACACACACACAAAAAGTCACACACACACACACACACACACACACACACACACACACACACACAGTCATCAATCAATCAATCAATGTATTGATTGGATTGATGGATTGATTGATTATTTGTTTTTGTTTTGTTTTCTTTTTGTTTGAAGAGAGAGAGAGAGAGAGAGAGAGAGAGAGAGAGAGAAAGAGAGAGCACACACACACACAGTCACACACACAGGCACACACACACACAGTCATCAATCAATCAATCAATCAATGATTGTATTGATTGCATTGAAGGACTGATTGATTGATTGATTGAATGATTATTTGTTTTTGTTTTGTTTCGTTTTTGTTTGTTTGAGAGAGAGAGAGAGAGAGAGAGAGACCACACACACACACACACACACACACACACACACACACACGACGCATAGCCAAAGCTTGAGCACACGACGACGAAGACGATGATGACGATGAGGAGGAAGAGGAGGAGGACAGAGAGGAAGAGGAAAAGGGTGAGGAGGAGGAAGACGGTGATGACAAGGAGGAGGAGGAAGACAACTCCGACGAAGAAGAGGAGGGAGGACATGAAACGAACGAAGAGAAAGAAGAGAAATGGCGATGGTTATCTTCCCCTTTTTCTTCTTCTTCCTCCTCTTGTTGTTGTTGTTCTTCTTCTTCAGCTTCTTCTTCTTCTTCGTCCTCCTCTTCTACTCCCTCTTCTTCTTATTCTCCGTCGTCATCCACAGCGTCCGCCATAGGCAAGATGCTCAGTGCTCATCCCAACCTCGCTGCCCTGTCCTCATCCTAACCGTACCTGCACAGTGGAAGGTGGCGCCTTTGCCTGAAGCCCTCTGAAAGTCTGTTGGCCGTTGGAACTATGGCGCCAACACGCACCGAAAAGGTTCATTTTGTTTTGAAAAAAATAAAATAGAAGGTTGTTCGAGGGGGTGGGGTGGGGGGGTAAATGAAATGCTCGGGTTTGACGGGTTCGGCCGATCGGCGCCCGGCGACATGGTAGGGCCGCCGTAACCCGGTGATATTTCTTTTTTCCTTTGTTTTTCTTCTTCTTCTTCTTCTTCTTTTTGTTATACTTCTTCTCCTTTCTTTCTTTGTTTCTTGCTTTGTTCCTTTCATTCATTCTTTCTTTGTTATGTAACTTTTTGTCGTTTTTTTTTTTCAACAAAAATATAACTCGTGGCCCGAGGTTTCATGCATATTCTTTTTTTTTTTCCCTTTTCTTTTCGATGGATCTGAAGCCAAACACGGAAGGCGCTTCAGATCCGTGCAACCATACACAGACGAAGGGGGCAGGAGAGACGAGGGAGGTGACACGAAGGTGACACGGAGGTGACACGGAGGTGACATGGATCTGGGGCTAGTCACCAGTGTCGTCACACATAATCCCTGATGTAACCGCTGTCGGGTCAGAACACCGCCGGTACTAATCCCTAAATCCTGACGTTATCCGATATCGTAAGTCGTCAAATCCTACACTGTCACCAATAGATCAACCAATGATCTCTCGCCTCTAAAGTCGAAGTCCTCTAAAGTCTAAGTCCTCTGAAGTCGAAGTCAGAAGAAGAAGAAGAAGAAGAAGAAGAAGAAGAACAAGAAGAAAAACAAGAGGAGGAAGAAGAAGAGAGCGGGGGAACTCACCTCGCAATCACCAAGTGCGCCGGCCTTCCTCGCGTACTGTCGACGAGACAATGACGGCGGCCACGCATGCGCGCGCGCGCGCGCGCGCGAGAGAGAGAGAGAGAGTGGCGATGCCGGGAGACAGACAGAGAGAGGCGATGGCGGCCCGCGGAGAACCCCATGTGGGTCGATTGCGCGTCGACGCGAGCTGGTCCCCCCCCCCCCCCCCCCCTCCCCCCGCAACCCCGGTCGTCCACCACGGACCATCCACCGGCGACCGCACAGCACCGACTGGCCAACTGCCACGCAACAACCGGCGCCAGAGGGACCCGGTAGCGTTTCCACATCGTCGCCGCTGTCCACGTTGGTCCGCGGCCAAAAAAACATCCGACTACGAAATAAAAAAAAAAAAACAAAAAAACAAAAAAAAATACGAATAATAGGAGTTCGCACCCACTGTTGGGAATCCACGCCGAGGCTCTGCCGACCCCCGATAAGTTCGGGTACTGGCCAGTATCACGTAATGTCCCAACAGTGGGGGAGGTACTGGTGGTTCAAAAAAATAGTGCTCTCTTGCTCTTGGCAAAATTTTGCAATACCCCTGGAAGTATTCTTTATTTGCAGGAAGCCCCACTGACGGCCAACTCATCCTGTGGTGCCCAATTGACAACAATTGAAGTTTCCAAAAAAATCCTGGCGTTGTTTGGCCCAGAAATATGTTCAATATGCCCCTACAGGTACCGGTTCCAAATTTCCACTATGCCCCGGTAGCTCCCGTTCGAGGGGTAGGGCACTGACAGGGGACTGCGGGAAAGTTTAGGCCCTCGGGGCACGACAGGGTAAGTTGGTCGTTGGAGGGGCAGCCGCAAATTGATCGAACTTTCAGGGGCATATCAAAAAATTTCCCTTTGCGTTTTCTTGCGAAAAGGGATCAAGCCCATTCTCCAAAAATTGCCCACTACGGTCCCACTTCTCATAAATATTGTGTTTAGGTAGGACTCTTTCAACCCTATCCAGCCATAAGCAAGGTCACATTCAGTCCGCAGCAAATCGGGGGAAGGTCACATTCAGTCCTCAGCAAATCGGGGGCCTGCAAACATGCGATACACGCGCTGTGGAGCAGCCGATCTTTGGGAAACAGTGCGGTTTGAGAATCTGGACGTCCACCAGGGGGCTTAGCTCAGTTGGTACACCTATAACCTGCTGAAATGTGGACCAGAGTTCGAACTCAGATGGAACCAGATGAACAGCATGCCTGATTACATAGGGCCAGTTGGTTTCACTATGATATCTCAAGCCTGTCGGCACTAAGGGGGGAAGGCCCCACTGGCAGTATATTTCTGACACCACTAAACTGCTGAAATGCGGACAAGAGTTCGATTCCAGATGGAACCAGATGAACAGCATGCCTGATTAACTGGGGCCGGTCAGTTTCAGGATGATATCTAAAGGTTGTCGGGACAAAGGGCCGGCAGGCCCCACTGATGCTATATTTCTTAATGGAAAGCCTGAACAGGATCGGAAACAGGGGAAGGTTTATATATATATATCTATATATCTATATATATACATAGAGATATATGGATATATATATATATATATCGTCACAAACAGATATATATATATCGTCAAATAGAACTGCCCGGTAAACCGTAGGCAGAGAGGGAGAAGAGGACAACAAACGAGGGGCTGTGACAAACTGTTTCGTCGGAGTTTCACCGACTCATCAGGAGGCTGTATATATGATATATATATATATACATGACGATATATACATAGCACAACCATAGCACCTGTAGGACTTGGCCATGGCAGGGTAGCATAGCACAAACATAGCACCTGGGGGACTTGGCCAAGCAGGGTGGCATATTGCACAAACATAGCAGCTGGGGGAGTTGGCCCTACTGTAGGACAGAAGGCAGTGTCCAAGAATTCAACCGAAATGAAATGAAGGGGGTCTTTTCGGATGATCAGCCAAATTGGGACTGGCTATCTTCTCCTTTTTGGTTGGTGGCCGGTCAAATACAAAGGCCCTTTAGGGCCCAAATTTCCCATGTTTCCTTTAGGCCCTCTAGGGCCCAAATTTCCCATGTTTCCTTTAGGTTGCATGTTCGACTCTTTGACTAGACGTGCACAACAGAGTCGTGCGAAACTGTGCAAAACACTACCGTCTTCCCCCGAATACAACGTACGGTCATTATATCTGTATTTAGACTGAAAGATACCCCAAATACCGGCTATAATGACCGTACTTCGTATTCGGGGGAAGAAGGTAGTTTGAACGAACAAGCGTTCAAACCCGGGATTGCCATATCCTTCTCATGGCTAGATTCACATAGCTACCTACTTCTCACTAGTCCCTCCACGTATGTAACCTTATTTGTCGGTGGGATTCATGGACCTATCGACACATACTATACTATGATAAAAACCGGATAATCACTATCACGACCGAGAATGAGACCAAAGGGAGCTGTCTCCAGCCGATGTAAATCGCTACACCCGCTCTCTGTTCTGTGCATTCGAATCAATCACCACGTTTTGGTCACCCCTCCTCCTCCCCATTCGCTCTCCCTGTACGCTCCCCATCGGTAAATGGTTTATATTCGACAGAACAGCAACCAGGGCGCAAGACTTCTCTCTCTCTCTCTCTCTCTCTCTCTCTCTCTCTCTCCCCCCCCCCCCCTCTAAGACATCTCCTTCCCCCCCAGGGAAGCGACCACTTCCCTGCCTATTTCCTTCTCTCTCTCTCTCCCTCTCTCTCTCTCCCCCCCCTCCCATCACATTCCCTACCCCCCATTCAAGCGA